GTGTGCAGATTGCAGATAGAATCCGCAAGGTTCTGTCATTCGAATTACATTCCAACACGTGAGATTTTGAGGATGACGGTGAGGGTAAGGAAATTCCAGTAGGAACAGATAAGGAACTAGCATAATGCGTTCCGGCAATCAGGGCGCTCATGTCGTTGGGGAGATGTTCAATTCGGGGGGAGGGAAGGAGGGAGGAGGGGGGGGGTGAGTGAACCAATTACTGTGTTTGGGACTGAGCCCTAGGGTGGAAAGGATTCTGGGAGAGGCTTGTTCTCTCTGGCGTTTCTCCCTCTCCTGGGCTTCATCGTAGTGTCACCTTCCATCGGCCCTGTTCGGAATGTTCCCACTAAATACATGAGCGCCTCGACCAGCAAAACAAATACAGTTGATACTAATAACTATATCAGGAGAAACTCCTGATTTTAGTGATTTTTATTCACTATGATGATAGTAGTGACATTTCCATTGAAGTCTTCTTTCATGTCCTTGCGCTAAAATCTCACCGACAGCTTGCGAATAAACTTCGCGCACGAGTTTCTTCGCAATCTGCACACGCTTCGAACTGTTAGATTTCACTGCAGACCCCATGAAGCCTCATCACGTCCAGATCGCCGCGCATCCTGCCCAGACGAGCCAAAAGTCCCGCACCCATTGACCATATCCAGGTTTCAGAAGTGATTGAAGTAAAATAAGAGAGCAGAACATCGTGCTATATACAAAGTTCATCGACTTGAAAAACTTCGACTTTGTGGAGACAGCGTAAATCCCCTGGCAACCAGAACTCGCCGACTGGGACGCAAGAAAATGAAATGAAAACAGCAAGTAATATAAAAAGCGAATATGAATACCTGTAGTGTTTTGTGTAAGGGTCTACAGAAGTAGAAGTCTGACGTTCGTGATTCAGATACATATTCGCACGTGCAAGTTTGCGGGCGTTCAATGCCGATGCAACGCCAATTATTGTCTCTTCTTCGTCTTCATTCAATGTTGCTCCTTGGAAGCCTTCGGGATACGTTTCAGGGAGATACCTATTAATGAATAGTCACAAACAGAAAAAAAAGGAAAAATAGAACTAACGATAAGCAGAAGAGTGGGAAGAGAATTGAACCAGCAGATCGGAGCTTACTTAGTGGTAATGTTGCCAGATCGGAAACGCTCTTCTTGACAAATGTCGCGAAGCAGAGGAATATTGTTTGTCACCTAAAGGAACCGAGCGTTAATTGCTCTAAGGAGTCGACTGTTATCTGCTTTCATGCAGACAATAGCTAATGCAATGCAACAGAGTAAAACGTACACCTCTGATAACGTAGTTGTCGAGGGCTTCGACCATGCGCTCTAAGGCTTGTTGACGATCTGCACCATGAGTGACGAGCTGAAGGATAATATCTTACCAATCTGCTAAGCTAATTGAATAAGCTAGCTTCTTTTACAAGTCAAAATAAAAACTTTTATAGTGTGTGAAGTAAACCTTGCAAATGAGTGGGTCATAGTAGATGGAAATCTCAGAGCCTTCACGAATTCCTGAATCGCAGCGTACGCCCTCAATGTGACGAGGTTCAACATATTTGGATAGACGACCAATCGACGGCAGACCGAAACCTTTGTAGGGGTCCTGAATAAGGAACTATTACAATGAAGGAGAACAACGCTGTGAACACCTCCGAACATTCAAGGCGCAGACCAGCGTCAACCCAATGCTGGGACAAGACCAACGGAGGGGGGTCGTACTTGGTTTAGGTTTTAGGGGGAGGGGGTCGTACTCTCTCGGTGCCAGTGGTGGGTACGTGGTAATATCGGAAAATAACCAGCACGTTAACGGTTTCGGTAAGATGGTATTCTGTATAGCATCCATAAGCCCACGCTTCCTTCTAAATGAGCTTTCAAACGAATCAGCGAATCAGAAGCGCGGCCGAGGCGTGGCGCACACCAAGGCAGGGTATGCCACTGCACAGCGCATGCTCGAAGCTTTCTAACACATCCTATGTTCAACAAGAATTGCTTTCCCTGGAGGTTACGGCCAGTGAAACCTTAAAAAAACCCGCGTTTTCAAGAAAATGGCTTGAAGAATGCCCCTCCAAAAAAGTCCCAACGGGACTAATTTTTGAACTGCTGACTTTTCAGGAACGTTCGGGTACTTTTTTAGAAAGCTTGAATCCTGTAGTTTCTCATACCGTGTTCAGCTTCCCAAATAAATGAGTTTGAAGGAAGTTATGATCGTTTAAAGGTTGAAAAGTCGCGGTTTCAGAAAAATAGTTCCGCGAACCCCCCTAAAATGTAGCAACGGGACTAATTTTTGAATTACTGACTTTTCAAGAACGTTCGGGTATTTTTAGAAAGCTTGAATCCTGTAGTTTCTCATACCGGGTTCAGCTTCCAAATAAATGAGTTTGAAGGAAGTTATGGTCGTTTGAAGGTTGAAAAGTCGCGTTTGCACAGAAAAAAGTTCCAACGTGCTAAATTTTCATTAAATTAACATTGGGAGAAAATTCAGATATGATTGGAGAGAGTAATTTTGATTTTTCAAATTAAATCACTTCAGCGCAAAAGCTATTATATTTGCTACATATTCAAAACGCTGCCTCTAGTTTTTCATATTTGTGCACCTATTATTACATCTATCGGTTTTTTGGGTGACAGGAGGGGGAGGTCGTATCGAATTGCCCACGAAGGAAGGGGGGGGGGACGTAAGGAAAAGTTCCAAAAAATACGAACGATAGGGTTGACCCTGGCGCAGACTTATTTGTCTGGGGGTCGTAACCTCGAGTACCACTCACAAAATCAGAAGCTGCCAAAAGAATGGCTAAGTGGCAAAGGAAATAGACTTTCATCTGCCACCGCGACCACACACCACAGACGACGGAATGGCGCATCATGGAGTGAGGTTTCTTACTAAATATGTCATGTCCCAGTTAGCACAAGCAAAAAATTCTTCCAGAGAAACTCCCATGCTTTGACAACAGAGGAGAAAAGTGCATCGAATTCAGCTGATTTACCTGTGGAGCACTAAGAGAAACCTATGGCAGAAAAAAGGATGCTACGTACTGGATTCGGCAGGCTCTCTACACAACCCAGTACGCAGCATCCCTTATCGTACCCATGGAAATTGTCGTGACCACTCCCT